CGAGCAGCAGATCCCGAGCCCAAACATTCTCTCTCTGCCCTACACAGTACTGTTATACATTGGCAAATTGCGTTCCGATGTTTCGAGGGCTAAGCTCTCTCTCCCTAACGAACTGTAACAATCGAATTAAAGTGCACGTGGGCGTGTCGCGAGGGTCTCTTTTTCCTTCGTCCGCTTGAACATTGCCATTGTTCTGATTCCAATGGTATGTAATGTTACATAGATACAACATATTTTAATTTAATTAAATTTAATTCAAATTGTTACAGTCATCCACGCATCGGCTATAGCAAAAAAAAAAAAAAAAGAAACTCGTTAACTTACACGAGTAAATCGGCTTACAACATAAATGTTGACGAGTTTTTAGCGGGTTTACGTAGTAACGGTTCTACCAGTGTTGTTTCGTTATTTTTTAACGTCTCCATAGTTACACGATGTACAGTATAAAAGTAAAAAAAAATTGAAAAGATACGGATGCTTTCGTTCAGCTGTTTAAACAAAACAAATTTTTTTTTTAGAATTTTGTTTGGAAAAAAATTACTTTAATGTAGATACTATGAAGATTATTGCGACAAGTAAAAAAGATACACATTTTTTTGACTGTGAAAAGGGACACGTAGTACAAAAGAGGTTTAAATTAAACAATTTTTAATCGACAACCAAGTTCATCTCATTTTAAAATCGAAACTTATGAGCTGACATTGCAGGCTGAGCTGCTAAGACATATTTGCCGCACGGTCCTTTTCTGTGCCAATGAGCCCAATGTACAAAGCATGTATTTATCATTTTTTTGTATAAAACCTGCCGAAGGAGTTACAAATTTTTTATAAAACACAGCAGCAGCTTTATATATACATATTTGTAAGCATACACACATGTTCCATAACTACGTTTTGGGGTGGGGGAAGCATGTCGATTGTTTTGAATCTGTCACTTTTTGCCAGCCCACCCCTGGCCCGAAAAACAACAAAAAGATGTAACAAAAGCACTCGCGATCCCTCGCTTACGTGTATACCATATAAGTACCAAACGAAACGAGAAATTAAAGAGCCAAGCACGCATTACCTATCGTATACCCAAGCCTTCAATACCGATCTCTTCTGAAATCGGTGCTAATTTCACAAACCATTGGCTTTTATGTACAACTACACGCGCTCACCTACATATTATGTATAGGTTGATGTGCAAACAGAAACGGCGCGTGCCCGTTTGCACGAAACAACACCGACTCCGGCATCGGTGTATCGAAAGGGGCCGGGGGTAAGTACGCCTACGCACTGAATGCCGGGACTTTGGGGGAAAAAGGGGCACGTTTCGAGGCAGACATTGACAGCCGGTCATTATACCCCTGAACTCGTGATCGGCGCATTATTAGGAGCGTGTGTATGTACGTCACTCACCTAAACAGAGAGCATTAGGGGTACTCGATACATACACCACGTTGTTTCCCTCTTTCTTTTCATGCCATTCTTCCTACGCCGTATCAGCTATATTCTCATTTTTTTTCTTTTATTTTTTTTTTCCACCAATGTATTACTTGCACTTGTTTCAGTTTTAAATATACGCAAGTGTGTGCACATATAGTACGAAAAATAAATCCTCGCGAGCCAACATTCGAGATGTGTATTTAAACATTTTTATTGACGCGTGTACGTGCCTTTGTTGATGCCAGACAATTTTACGAGGTTTCGAAAACGGTGTATCTATGCCCGAAGCCCCTTTCTTCCGATCTTTCCCCTGCCAAAGGCAGGTATTGTACTTTTGACTTTGATTCTCAAGGAAATTGACACTCGACTATGATGGCGCGTCGAAGGAACTTTCACGCGTGCCCTCTTTTTTTTGTATTGGCGTTATTCTCAACCAGGAGAAAAAAAAAAAAGGACAGATTTCTCTTAAAAGGACATATTGGGCGCATTTGAATGTCGTTCGTGTATAGGACGGGTCCCCCACATAAGCTGAGTCAAACCCATCATACGAGCATCGGAAACGTACGTGCATTCGCACATCCGCATCCCCCTTGTGTATATATATATATATCCCAACAACGAGCACATCACTCGATCCACACTCTCGTAAAATGAAATCCGCTTAGCATATCTCGTATATGGCTCGCACACACGCACTTATGTGAAGAGACATTTGTCGGCGCGACGACGATGACACTAAGCGTCGAATGAAGAGCAATCGTCCTTCACGCTGTCATCGACTTCCAGTTTTTTTTTTCTTTCTTTCTCTCTCCCTCTCTCACAATGCACATGTGTGTACACACGTGCAAAGTTGGTCCCAGTAGCTGTATATGTGCATGCGCGACGCGTTACAGAAATGTCATATGTCGCAGCCTCCGTCCAAGTTGACTCCGTTTTCCCCCGTGGCCTTTTCTCCTTTACAGCGTACAGGATCTGCACTACATGTATATGGTTATTGTTTTTTTTTGTCTCTTGTTTCCTACCGATTGCTTTTTCCGTGCAATATTCTTTCCTTTCCTTTTTTCTTTTTGGCGTTGTCCAGATGATATATACACATAATATAGGTGGACGATAAAAAAATGTTCATTAACCAATCGCAAAATATGTAGCGATTGCGTATAGCCAAAAACACCAATGAAAGAGCAATGAAATAAAGAGATACAATCATCACATCAAAGATGTAGAGGTACAAGTGCAGGTATAGAGATGCACACGGTAAATACGACGGTGGGAAAAGAGAAGAACGTATAAAAGAGAAGTAAGGAATCGATAGAGAGAAAAAAAAATTAGAATCGAAAACAACATGGTTCAAGAAAATTAGAGAGTGATATGAAAATATGGTAAGAATATTATTATTATCAACGTGCAGCTGAAAATACGGAAATAAAACATAATCAACAGCAGGCAACTTGCAAAGGAATAACTTGTCATTAAAACAAGACTGTTATATAGAGATAAGATTGAAGATGTTCAGAAAAACTTTGATAAAAGCAATAAAACTGAAACGAAAAGTTTGAAAATTCTTGAAAATCGAGTGAAACTTGTAGCCGTAAAAGCCCTGGCACTTTGATTTTCCACATTTACTTCAAAATAACAAACAAAGTTTACGTAACACGAGGAGCTCAAAAGTGCGAATGCCAACCCGGTCGCTCGCTCGCTCGCATACCGATCCACCGATTAAGTTCTCGAGGGGTGCAATAAAAACATCAAACCCTATGGTACATATGTATATATGTATATATACCTGCGTCCGGACACCCATACAAATTTCAAGTGGCATCATCGTCATCGCAACAGATACATCAAAAAGATGGGGGAGAATCGGTATGCGCGTGTACGTACGTGCTCGATCAAAATATGCGCGAAATTTACAATCAACGTTCAACAACAGCCAGAAAAGCTTTTACGGAACATGTAGGATAGGTGTATATAGTATATGTGTGTGTGTGTGTATATAAGCGCACGACGAGCGCCACGTGTCCGACAGCTCGCACAGCCCTAAGCGCGTGTGCGTATGTATATGTATACAATATGCGTTCTCTATGAGATGTCCCGACTGCGTCAAGAAGGGGAGGGGGTGACGAGTATACACGGAAGAAAGAAAAAAAGGGAGCACGAGAGCGCGTAGATGGTATACGTATACGAGGGTGGTATAAGCCTCTGGTAATTGCCAGCATCGCGGGGGTTCACGGCGGGGGAGGGAGGGACGGAATCGCAGCCACGTGACTGGACTCTCTGTGTGTGCACGGGGGCTCTTGTTTCGATATTCCGCGTGACTACGTTTAATTAAGCGATGTCACGTATACGGCGACGACACGTTTAGGCCAAAAAAGTGATATACGTCGCTCGTTTTTTCTTTTTCTTTTTTCTTACATATAATATACGGTAGGGTGCGTACATACACTTTACTTTTCTTTGTTTTGACAGGCAGCCGGTCCATTTGGAGTTGACTGTGATGTTTGTCTGGAAATGCATCAAACAAATACACGAGTATTTTTGCTGTGGATGCTTAGTTCAGAAAATGCTCTAATTCGTTGACATCGACACCCATACACTGAATGTTTGATAAAGAAATAAATATCAGTTCTTAATATAGAAAACCAACACCTTGACGTGCAGAATGAAGCTCTTACATATGGGCTCATTGTAGCTCTTGACTCATTTTGGATGCAGGTGTGGTTCAGAGAGAGGCGTCGACGAGGGGGAACATGCCAGTCTTGATGCATTATTCTAGAGCACGATTTCTTCAAACTTTGACTTTACTGCGTGACATTGGTACCACACACTCGATATTCCCTAATTGAGATACCTATACAGGTTGTACAAAAGGAAACGGGTGTTTTTCAGCAGATTCATTACGGTTCTGTGGCTGGGACTTTTAGCAATTAATTGCGAATTGAGAAAAAATGAAAAAATGCCCATCCGATTGGAGCACGTATGTTGTAGTTCTCCGAATATTTTTTTATCGAAACAAACGTGTCCGATTGTTGTACTAAACGGCAATAAATCCCGAACAAACACAAATCCTTCGATTGTACGAAAACATGCGTAATACTCGAGGCTTACGCGGGCCCATACAGTCCGATCGTTCCCTCTTGTCCCTCACCAATGCCCACGTTTTTTACGCACCATACGTGCTCGGGTACGGCGTGTGTTCATCCGTACATGTCCGCGTACACGCGTAAGCCCCCGTATGTTTGCAGACACTAAATTACGCGCGACAATGCGTCGTCGCTGCCAACCCCTATGCCCCTTTCCCTCTTTTCTCTCGGATTATAAAAGCAAAGCTCGCTCGCACGAAATCCGACGGCTCGGCTGCTCTTTTTTTTCCCTACGCGCACGCGCTTACGCAACGTGCGACACCCCTTTGTTTGTACTTACGAGCTGGCTCTCGTTTTTTTTTTTTTTTTTTTTTTTCTTGTTCCTTTTCTTTCCAACAAATGGGTTGGGCTCGCGAGGCTCTGGGAAACTTTAAACTGTTGATTGACGTTGGGTGAATTTCAGGTGACACTTGCAAGAATTTTTTGGTGAGAGATGGAGCGTGACTTCAAGACGAGTCAGAAAGCCGCCACGAGGGCAAGGAAACCAAAAAGAAATGACCAAACGAGGATGCGGGAGGAAGCCGAAAAAGTTTGTTCCGATTATTTTACAAAGATGAAACATTTATTAACTAATTAAATTGGATGACTTTTTATGGCCATTTAGACGTATCCAACACCATCGGAATATGCGAGGCAAATGTCTTTGAACCCTGAAAGGATAATGGCAAAAAATCGTACTCTCGATAAAAAGCAGTCGTCCATGTTCACTTCGAGTCCAAGAGTTGTTATTTTTCGAAATTTTTCCACGGGAATGGTGCACACCGTCACCATTCAAATTCAAAACACATCAGAAATCCCTCATCAGTTGAGATTAGTCAATTCCGATAGCGTTGTGTTTAACGTGACGTTCAAAGGACCAACACTGAACACGAGATTGGCCCCTGGAATGGCACATACCTACGAAGTCGAATTTCATCCTGACGAGGAAAAAGATTACTTTCATGACATTGTGTTCAAAACTGAAGTTGGCTGCTTCGTCGTTCCTGTAATAGCTTCTGGACCGAAACCCGTGCTGTTGTTTCCCGATCAAATCGACATGGGACAAACTGGGCTCAAAGTTACCCGGACAAAGCCCGTTTTGATGCGAAACACGGGAGATACCCCAACTGGTTTCAGTATTTTTACTGATAGGTAATGCAAAAAAGACGCGTACTTCCAAACGCAGATACCATGGATTTTCTATTACATGAAAAAAACAAAAAAAAAATCTTTTTCAGTCAGTATTTTGCGGTAATTCCCGCGAAAGGTTCCATAAAAGCCGATGAAACTATACAACTAAAATTTGATTTTACACCTCAAAAAGCGGGAATAGCCAATGGGCATGTTTATTTGCAATACGACTCGGGTACTATTTTATGCATTTGTCAGATGATTTAGAAGAAAAATCATACTTATATGTAATTTTCTAGGAGATCTTGTTCGCAGTTCAATTTACGGAGAAGCTGTGCCTTGTGACGTTAGAGTACGGGAAGACGTTATTTTATTGAAAAATACGTACTTGGGTTTAGCGAAACTAGCAACCATAGAAATTATCAATAACAGTGATTATTTGATCCGTTTTAAGTGGATGAAGCACAAAAACATCGAGGAGGATATGCTAGAAAAAGAACGGTACTGTATTCGTTGCAAGTAATAATTACAAATCTTTATTGGTGAATACGATTTGATATTTTAGAAGTAAAGCAGTCATGGAACCGCCAAAAACTGTGCTATGCAAGGAAGATTTTTCAAAGGACTTACAAGATATAGTTAGTAGACGAGTTTACGAGGATTGCATTGATTTATTGATGAGTAAAAGTTTAATTTACGATAATGATCATTTTACTATTTTTCGAATGGTACGTAAAGTGTCATGTTTCAATACTTTCGAAACAATTTCTTAACAAAATCAAGGATACAATATGTTTTTTTTTTCCAAATTCACAGGATGGAGAAGTTTGGCCGTGCAAATCTTTGCAAGTATCGGTTAATTTCCAGCCAAAGACAGTCGGTGACATTAATTCTTATGCTTACTTGGAAATCGATGGCCTAGAGTATCGCATCCCAGTCAGGTACATAATGTTTTCCCACCCTTTTTATTTTCACACATAATAATGAAAGGTTTTGTTTTAGTTTAATAGGTAAATGCTTAGGGCCAGCTCTTGAATTAAACCTTTTGTCCTTGGACGTTCAAGAAGTGTACTTGTGCTCCACGTACATCTACGAAGTGAGTGTACAGTACTGATTTATAAAAGTACAACAACACACTGATGAGTAAATGAAACCATTTCCAGGTAGTCTGTAAAAACGTAGGTCCTATTCCTGGCACGCTGGTGCACGTACATAAGACTACGGATTTTGGAAGCACAATCCAAGTAAAACCTCATGAAATCGAAGTCAACGTTGATGAATTGAAGTGCATGAAACTTTATTTCTGCTCAAATCGCACCGGTTGCTTCATCGAACGCATCGATTTTTCGATCAAAGAAAGCTCAGAGCTATTGTCATTCGTAATGAAGTGAGAAAACACATAATCAATAATCGATCGCATTAACCTTACCGATTGACATGATTATTTGGTTTTTAAACCAGAGGCAAAGTAATATGCCCGTTAGTCAGGACAGACGACGAAGATGACATCGATTTTCATTTGGCCTCTCTGGGCTTCACGACCAAAAAATTTCTGGGTTTTCGCAATCTGTCGCACGAACCCATAGAGTTTAGCATAAAAGTCGTTTGCGATGGTTACGAAAAGTGCGTTACTCACGAGGACTTTGCAAAGGCCCACATAAAACCACGATTGCCCTCATGTCCTCGTCAATTTTACGTGTGCCCTTGCGAGGGCACCGTTGGAGCAAAAAGCCCTCTTCGGGTTCAGGTAAGGCTGATGAGTGAAAAATCATGATACAATGAAACTTTACGTGCTATTACGTGGCTAGATTTTTTACACGCCCAACATTGCTGGCGCGGAAATCGTCAAACTTCAAATAGATCTGGGAAAAAGCTCTAACGCAGAACCACTGGTTGTACCGATGAGCGTCAACGCAAACTCAGCTTTGTTTGGTATAACTCCTGAGAAGTTGAAAATTCGATTTTGCTTCGTGAATTTTCCGTACTGCAGAAAGTTGACTGTGACAAATCTTTCCGATATCGTGGGATACTTTTACATTTATAATCAAGAGGTTGTTCAATGCTCTTTGGTGAATATTCATATGATACTTTTTTTCATAGTTATTCTTCTATTGCTTATAGGTTTCGAGTGATACTACCGTGTTGTACTCCTTGTCAGCCAATCACGGGGTACTGAAACCACAACAGTCTAAAGAAGTAACACTTACTTTAATCGTCAAATCTGTCGGAGAGCAAACATTTTATATCAAGTATGCATATTACATTAAAAATGAGATAAGAACATGGCATTTGAATAATTATTTTTATTGTTTACAGTGTGTATAGTTTTGGTCTTGAAAAGCCAGTCATTTATAGTGAAATAACATGCATCGGCCAAGGTCCTGTTGTTTCTGCAGAACCATCTCATCTGGGTTGGGGTGAGGTTCGATTATTACAGGAAAAATCGTTAACCTTGACCATCACCAACGACTCACCAATATCAGCAGAATTTACTACTCTTTTGGTAAAGAAGCTTACAGTTTTGTGATACAAATACAAGTCTACGTTACAAACACGTATCGCTTTCTAGAACAAAACCAAGGATATATGGAAAATCGAGCCGGCTTGTGGAGAGCTCGAATCAAACGAGTCCGTTGAGCTAAGAGTAACAATATTTTTGAGAGACAGTGGCGTGTACTCGGATCGTTTAGTTGTCTCGATTCTCAATGGGATCGAAATAAGTGTGTCTCTTTCCGCTGTTGGCGTTGGCTCGAGCATTGTTTTTGATCCTGAGATTTTTCCAGTCATCGATTTGGGAGTTCATTTTTGGTAATGATACTTAGATTCTACAATTTTTTGGTAAGATTGAAAAAAAAACAAAAAAAAAAACGAAAAACCAATAAATTGGTGAAATTAACTTCAATAGCGGGCAAAATGTATCTATTCCAATCAAAGTGAAAAATGAAGGAAACAGATTTCATCACATACTTCTAACAAACGAGGAAAAAATTCGACAAGGGAAAAAAGCTCACCCTGTGGACTCTGAAAAGTAAGATAATGTGACGATTTTTTTGTAATATTTATTTAAAAAATTTTTTTTCTCATTTAAGCACTATGTTCAAAATCGAACCAAATGTCATTGAACTACGTCCAGGTGAATCAGAAACAATTCATTGTAAAGTACGTCAGAATACGTAAGTCCACTAATTCATACGAATGATAAATCACTGAATTGTAAGTTAATTTACAGTTTTTCCACTTTTTCCTAGAGAAAAAACAATTACTGAGTCATGGTACATCAATGCTACCATAGATGGACAGGGAAAACGCGAGGTCCTCGGAAGCAGTCAATTCACGGCTACCTTTGTGGAACCAGATATCTGCTTCGACAAAGATAAACTGACCTTCAGACTAGACTTGGGCCACGAGAGTGAAACGCTTAAACAAAAAGGTGAAACAACAACAGCAACAAAGTTTGTACCGTAATTGTTAAAAACTGCAAAAATTTCAGACCACATCCAAGTAACCAATCGGTGTCGTCGCAGCGTCACAGCTCACGTAACAATAGACCCGCCGTTTGTGCTGGTCGACCAGTGTAACTGTCGCACAGATTACATAGACTTCACTCTAGCAAACAACGAATCGACTGACGTGAGGGTTTACTTTCCATTCGACATTGAAAATTCGGAAACTGTGCCGCTAAAATACAAGGGCTATCTAACTATTGCGTACGACGAGCATCAAACCATTGTGAGTCTTTGGATGAAGCTTTGCGCAATTTCATTCAACGAGTAGATTTCTAACGTAGTTACCGATCAGGATAGAGTCTTGTGCATAGCTGAGGTGAATTTTCCACACGTGATCTGTACCCCGAGTCAACTCGAAATCTACTGCGTTCACGGATGGAGTATCGATGAAAAAGTGAAGATACTGAACGACAGTCCGCTACCTGTATCTTACAAAATGAAATTGGCAAAAACCACTTTTGATTATCAGCGTTTGGCTACCATGTCTGAGGTTTGAGAACTGATTAAGTTGGACATCTTACGAACACTCGTAATTTTGATTTCTACATTTTGTGCAGGATGGACACGAAAGCTTTGTGACGGACAGTTGCGTCGATATCAGTGAGTTGTGCTGGCCAATAAGTGTTTAACAAAGAAAAAATTGATCAAAACCTTTACTTACAGCGGTATGTCCATCAGTAAAAGATGACGATTCCGATGCAATACCACTTCTGTCCAAAAACAGCAAAGCCAGTAGCTCGTATGGTGGTGAAGAAGAATGGTCCGAGTCGTCGATAGAAGTAGAAGCAGAACTTGTCTGCACCGATCTCGTCGATCGAGTACGTTTATTGTTCGTATACTTAGTACAGTGATAAATTTTAATTTGACCAGAAATCGTATTAAACTATGTTGGACAGTTTTTTCAAATTACACCAGCAACGGGACTGATACCACCGCAGTCAGAGTCTTGGGTGATCGTGACCTTCAATGGTTTCAAACGAGCTAAGACGTCGATACAAGTAATTTGCGAAGTCGCACGAGGCTCTACGCAATCGGTGATCGTCAACGCAACTACAGATACCGTCAAGTGCGAGATTCAAGATTACAGCCTGGATTTAGGATTACAGGTATGGAAAGTACAGTTATAACGAAAATGGCACGATTCTTTACTGCTTTACTCTTGAAATGTTTCATCAATGAGCAAGGAATTTTAGCTGTATTGCGAGACTTCCTTGACAACATTGAGAATCAAGAACCAGTGCATGATCCCTCTGGATTTAAATGTCGAGACAAGCACGACTTTGTTGAAAGTTTCGGGAGAATCGAGAGTATTGGATCCAACTTCAGAGAGCTCGATATCGATAGAGCGCCAAGCTTCAGCGCCCGGATTCTTTAACGAGAAACTTTTTCTTGAAGTAATTTTAGAATCATCTCTTAGAATAACTATAAAGATTTTGTAATAATAAATAGCAATTATCAAACAGGTGACGCATTTAGAGCCATTCATCATCAAAGTACAATGGTTGGCAATAATCCCGCAAGTTTATTTGGAAATGCTTTCGAATGGGGAGTTTGAATTTGGATTTAGTACGATGTACGAGTATCAAGCTATTCAGTTGCTGACATACGAGTGGATAATTAATCAAGAACGAAATGTCATTGGCATCGAATGTTCGTCCAGTGGTAGCTTGGACGGAGATAGAGAGTTTTCGGATTACCAAAAAATGCAACTAATCGGTAAAACACACTCCAGTTCTCTGTATGTAATATTTGTATTCTACAATATGTAAAAAAAAAAAAAAACCCTATCTTTTCCATAAGATGACGGTTGGCAGATAATATCTAGGGATGAAAGATATCCAAGTATAGTTGACATTCGTATGGCTTCTGAGCGTTTGATTGTAAAAAACTGGATCGAAGAGGCTGGATGTGACGTAGTATTTGGCGATCTGAGCAAATTCTTACATGCCCCTTGCTACGACATAAACATGAATTACGTGGTAGTCGAGCAAACGAAACAAATAACCGTCCCGTTGAACAACTACGGTTTTGAAAAAGCTAAAGTAAAGTTGTTGAGGAATGCGGTGAAGCGAAGGTCTCCCGAATCCTGTTTAATGATTCAGCTTGAAAGAAACGTTGAAATCTGCCAATGCGAAAGCAGCGCGTTATGCATTTCGTTCAGCCCAAAAAAATTTATTTTTTTCGAAAAATATACAGTTGTTTCTGAAAGATTTTTCCTAGATGTACGTAAGAAAAGTTCAAAAATCGTATGAGAAAATGAAAGATTTATCTATTAACTATGTAAACATATTTTTTCAAGATCAAACGAGGTTTAAGAATTCCTGTCTCAGTTCAAGTTTCGGCCGTGTATCCTGATTTAACTGTAACACTAAAAAAACTGAATTTTTGTAAAGTTTTTCTGGGGGAATGTAAAGAAATGAGCTTCACATGTAAAAACGAGTACGTTTTCACCATTAAACATATTTGAATGAATTATCAACAATTCTATTCGCATTAATAAAATAATGATCACTAGAGAACACGTTGACTGCCAATGGAAAGTAGTGATTGAAAACGAATCGAAAAATCCAACAAAATCAAATGTTTGTCCATTTTACGTGAAATACTCAAACGACGTATTTAGTCCTGGTCAGGAAGCCGAGATAAAAGTCTACTACAAGCCCAATGGAAACGTAAAAATAGTTGATGTTAGTTTTTTTTTTCTATTGTTAGATAAACAATTGAATGCTTAATTTCAGGGTAAACAAAAAGCTAACTTGAAAATTGTAATACGCGACGGAAAAGAAGACAAAACCATCTATCTAACTGGTTACGGTATCGATCGAAAACTTAGTGTACAAAAATCGAAGATTCGATTTCTTACTTTGATTCCCAACACTAATCAAGGAAAGGAAAACGTCATTGTAGAAAATAATAACGACTATCCAATGATGATATACTGGAAACATGAAAACGAGTACGTAAATACATTTTTAAAATGTAAATGACGTTGGTGACTTAATTTTTTCTCGTTTATTTCAGTTTTACAGAGTACAACATAATTGTTCGGGTCTTGAAGCATTACTATGCAACGGATAATATTTTAATACCAACAGGAAAGATGGGTGAAAAATTATCGCCAATATTAATTGATTTCTATAATTCTCTCATACGACACATGCATTCGGATCAAGATTTTGAGTCTTTCTTTGACACACGTAAAGCCACAGATCGCGATTCCCAAACAATTGATACCTCAAGTTGTTCTGATCTTCATAGCACATCAGAAGTGGAAGCTCTATTGCATGGTTATTATTTTCAAATCGTTGTTTTAAATCGTTGAATTCCAGTTAATGAGCTTGTCTTACAGCGTACATTGATAAGAAACAGCAAGTCACTAATTTGCTTGAAACAATGGGAGATCCCCTGCAAGAGCTGTACGACAACAACAGTTCCGACGGTACATCTTCAGTCAAGGAAAGTCTCAGGGAATTGGAACAGCCAAAGAAAAAGCTCATCATTATATTCCACGGAGCTTCCGATTCTGGTACTGTGAAAGTCAAATTAATATCAGTTTCTGTGAAATAAAATTGTTACGATCATTTTCAGAGTACCAAGAAACTGCATGTCGCAGCGCGAAAGCCCTAAATCTGCCGCTTCTGAACCTAAACCAAGCAATATTAGAGACTGTGGCTACGAGCACAACACCAAGTGGCATCAAACTTGCAGGCCAGATAGATCAACGTTACAACGACTTGACGTCAAAACTGAAAAAGTTCGCATCCGTAGCTTTAGTTAAATCGACTGATGACGAACAGTTCGAGACGATTCGTTTGTTAAGAAAACTTCCACCCCCCGAAGAGCTTGAAAGTGTGGATAGATATACGTGTTTCGAGACAAAGCTAGAGGTCATTCGAAGTATCGTGGAATTTGTCGACCTGTTTGGCTCGTCATTGCTGAACGACAAGTCGAGCCTCAAAAGTCAGGATTTCACGGAACGTAGTGCTCTACCTAACGTGAACCAAGATGTGGTTCGCGAGGTTCTGCGGGAGAGGTTGACTGGGCTCGAGTTCAAAGATGGATACGTTTTGCAAACACTGAATTGTGATTTCGTTAAAAACGAGGCTGCTGCAATGAAGATGCTGCTATGGGCCACTGGAGAGGCTGAGATCTTCTTGCTTGTCGCGTTCGTTGATTTTGACGAAGAGGAAGTTGAAGTTAGAGACGTGGAGAAAAGTGACAAGATACTGCAAGGATATAATGCGAGTTTGAACAGATTGCTGGAGGCTATTAGTACCTGGGAAACGGATAAAGTGACGATCAAAGTATGTATTTACTGAGTTGATGCGTAGAGATGCATTTCGATAAAACTTTACGCTATTACAGGAGACAAACAAACGCACGAAATCAAGAAAAGAGAAACGTGATTCGTCAAAAAATGAGTTTCTCGCGAAAGTAATTATGAGCCAACAAATTATGACTTGGCATTGGAGAGCAGAAATTATGTAAATACTATGATTAATGTTGTTTGTTGTTAATTTTAGCCCACTGAAAAGTTTTTCGTTTGGTACGTCCATTCGAGTGATGCAGATGACAAAAGATCATACGAGTCTACGATTGTGAACTTATCTCAACATTTCAAGTCATTCTTGCGACATGGTTGTATGTAAACCGGAAAATGTTCATACATAAAATGTTTTATTTTTTTTATTCACGTGAATCTTACAGGTGGTCAAAACGAAGAATTTTCACAACCTACTTTGTCGTCCCACATATACTCGATTCTTAAGGAACGTCCGACTTCATCAAACTCCCTAACCGATGGTGCTTATATTCTTTGACACATAAACAGATATTAACATTTGTTAACATTAAATATTACTTTTTTAGGAATCTTTACCTTGTCGGAACCCAAATCGTTGAACAAACGACGATCAACAGCACCAAACAAGGCTATAATGGAAAAGTTGATCGATGATGAAGATCTAGGAAGGACAAGTTTTACAGACACAAAGAAGGTTTTAAGAGCTTGGTCGAGTACTCCCAAGCTACCTTCGCTCGAAACAGCCGTTGATTCAGAGAGTAAAACATCAGTATTAAATGTCGAAGCAATTTTTAAGCTCAAAGCGCACGAGTCGCGTTTGTTCCAAGTTACGTTTGCACCTACCAAGGAGGGACACTTTCAGAACAAATTTTCATTGGTCTCGATGGATGATCCGGATTCTGTCTTTGAAATACACGTCGAAGGTGCAGCTGAGGTTCCAAGGCTCGTTGTCCTACAGGAAGTGGAACTCCTTAATTTTGGACCTTTGCTCGTCTTGCAGGAGAATATTAAGTTTGAACATTTTTACGATGTTTTATTTACTTTTTTTATAGCTATTGAAGTGACATTGCCGAATGATCTATTAAATATAGGCCTCACAAGAAGTGCATGCAACTTAAGTTTCAAAACGTTTCGATGGTGTTTGCCACGGTAAAATTTTATTTGAGGGATGAAAATTACAGTTGCTTCGACATTGAACCACAAAAAACAAAACTAGAGGTTCGTATGGGTATAGCTGAAAATAAGTGAATGCTTAAATTGTAAAATTTTGACCAATTTATATGTAGTTTAAAAAGAACAAGATTTTAAGTAGAACGTGATTGTTGTATCTCTATATTTTTATTGCGTCTGAACTTTAATTTGCTTTCAGAAGTAATACTCGTGACCCTTAGGTTTTTTGATATCTCGTTAAAAAATGAGGTTTATAAAAAAAAACGTTTTTGTAGACCTACGTGATTCACTTATTTTTATCCTTAGCCCTTGGAGCACGGATTTATCACCGTAACAGCATCTACTCGAGAACTTGGACTCCAAACTGACGTTTTGATATTAAATGTAGAACACAATGATGAACCTCAAGCAATACAGGTGACTAATAAATCATGTACAAATAAAATTTGATTGTCTGTATCTTTAGAGAGGTAGCTTACTTTAAAGTCACAATGAAATTTTTTTTTACAGTTACTATGCTTTCTAATATTTTGAAGTCATCGAATTTCTGAAATATTTCTAAGTGATATAAAATGATTTTTAATGACTTTAAGCGCTTTTTTATGATTTCGAATGGTTTTTAAGTATTCGAACGACTTTGAATGACGATAATTTAGGCTTAGACTACTTTGATTTAAAATTCTCAAAAATTTTTTGGAAATCCAAGTTATTCGGAAGACTGTAATTTTTTACCGACTCCAAAGATTTACAGTCTCTTGGCATGTCTACAACTCAAATTGAAATAAAATTTAATTTTTAGCTCGTATGTACGGGTGCGGAATTAGATGTTGATTTTGAACCAAAGCAAGAAGTTAATCTTGAGCGGGTTTTACTGCATACTACAGAAAAACGTTCGATAAAAGTGCACAACAAATCTGCGATCGCACTGTATTGGCGTATGTTGATCGACTCTACCGAGATGCAAATTCGATTTGTGCCATCAGAGGGTAAGATCAAGGCGAAAGACGATTGTGAAATCGAACTGCAGTACCATGGAAATGAAGTAATAAGCATAATCTATGTACAACAAATTTATTGAGCCTCGTATGAAATATTGGACCATCATTTTTGCATCAGGTTTTGGCCCCTCATTTAAAATTTGTGAGCTTTGAAGTGTATCTCAATGAAACCGATTCGGAGCCAATCAAGGTGGACGCTTTGCACGTCAAAGCCGAAGTTTATGAAATTTCCCTTTACGTTGAGGCCGAGGATCCCATTGATTTTGGGGCAATTCCTGTTCAATCCACGTCTGAAAAATCTTTCGTTTTGAAAAATTTAGGCCATTATGACGTCAAATACCAGTACGGTCAATTTTGAGACATTTTCTGAACTTTTTCGAAACTTTATGTAACTCTTGTTTCACGTACAGACTGCAGTACCAAGACATCGTTGAGTTAAAGAAGTCAGTGAATGAAAAGATTTTAACAGACCTACAGCAAAATATAGAAATTCATCCCATTTCGGGACTTATACTGCCCAAAAAACAAACTACGATAATCGTATGTGTATAAAATATTATAAGATAAATTTTTCCCTTATCACTGGGGGAGTAAATTATTTTTAAATAAATAGGTGATGTTTACTCCATCCATCGAAATGCGTATAAACGCTGTTCCTTTGCTTAAATGCATTGTCTCTGAGCCTTACAAAGAATATGGAGATGTAAATGAGCATGTGCTCACAGTTTCAGCCGTTTCTTACTACACGAGGTAATATTATAAATTTTAAGATCGATGCAGCGTACACAAATACCGATTTCACATTGCATTTTACAATCAGATTTCTCATCGAGCCACATCCGAAGTTAGACTTTGGAGCACTCGAATTGAAAGCTACGAAAACAATGCAATTGAAATTAACAAACACTGGACAATTTCCTTTGAAGTTCAGCTTCGTCAACCGACTGGCAAATAACTTCGATGATCGGAGTTCAGTGGTAACCGATAGGGGCAAAAGATCATCAAAGCAAAGAAAAATCTCTAAACGGTATCTCCAAAAAAGCATTTGAAAAAATAAAAGCCATCCACAATTGTGTCATTAGAAAACTTTTATGCAGACCTAGTACTTTGCAAAACGTGTCGATGAAATTTGGTCCGTTTAAATTGGAAAAAATCAAGGGAGCATTGGCGCCCGGGGAAGTTGACATAGTGAACGTTCACTGCGTGTCGGACACTGTTGGTCGTTTCAACGAAACGCTAAACATATTGGTATCCGACAGTTTACCAGCTAATGATGAGAATCAACTGATACATTTAACTGCTGACGTTTGCGTGGCTAATTTAGACTTGGAAAATCTTCACGAAGTTTTCACAAGCAGCCACATTGTTGAGACACTCGATGATTTTAGCTGTCCAAACGAGGTGAGTTTTTTTCAATGAAAAAAAAAATTATTTCTTTCTGTAAATTTTTAGTTCGCTACCAAATATACTTCGTAGTTTGGACAATACACTGTCTTTGAAAAAACGAGCAAATGTCTGTACTTCTACCATGTGTGTGTTGGATGTAATTACACTACGGAGATCAAATTGAGGAATAGTAGCGCAGTGAACGGCACTGTTTTGATAGAGATCCCCGAAAACTCGGCTAGCAATGGAACGTTTCGAGTCGACCAGAGTCGATTCTCCATACCTTCCATGAGCACGCGAAGTTTCTCCATTATCTTTGCACCCAAATTTCTTGGAGTAATGTTATTTTTTTAGAAACATTGCAATATCAAATAATAGCATTGACTTGTTACCATTTTAATGGTTTCGCGTTTTTTTCGAAGGATTCGTCTAATACATTGCTGATAAAGTTGGATCTACCCGAAAGTATCAAGCCAAAAAATTTTAGCATCGATCTGAAAGGGGTAGGCTGCGTACCGCAAATTCGATTGATCGAGCCTGTTGTGAATGGTAGCGACGTTCCAGTAATAAACTTTGGACTGACATTCGTTTCGGCGACCACTATAAAAGTCTGCAAAGTCAAAAATGTCGGGCTAGTATCCGCAGAAGTGTCTCTTCAATTTTTTACCAATCAAGATGCAGCTTACAAAGTTGTTTTAAACGAAAGAGATGATAAAACAGTCACCGACCATTGTGAGTTACAGGTTTTGTTATCAATCATCTCTTACTAGGAACTACAAGGATATTGAGACACATTTTTTTTGGTTAATAGCTTCAAGTAACTTGTGCTTCGGGATATTGCCTGAGGAAGTCGTTGACGTCAGAGTTGCGTTTCTTCCGACCAAAAGTGGAAAATACGAAGGTCGTCTACAATGTTCCGTTCAACACAATCCTTACGAAGTTATCGAAGTAAACTTGGTGGGCGAAGGATTTTTGAGGACCATTATTTTAGAAAACCTAGAGCTAGTTGATGAACTTTCAATAAATCTCCGGAAGAGCGCATCAAAAAACTCACGAGATTCCCAGAAGTCGCGAAAAGTTTCATTGAGGACAGGTTCTTCCATGACTAGTAAATATAAATATTTTCATTAAATCTTTTACGAAATCAGGTATAAAACACAATCATGATTAAATTATTTCCTCCAAGAGTTAGAATCTAAATCACGTGATTTGAGTCCATTGACTTACAAGCTGGATTACGGAAATTGTTTCTTGAATCAAATTCAAAAAGTCGCATTTAGAATTGTAAATAAAACTTTGGATAGATTCTTCAGATTTGAGTGGGATTCGCTTGCTTGCCTCATATGTACACCAGCAGCCGGCCATCTAGGACCGAACAGTTTCAAAGAACTGACAGCTACTTTCCTTGCTTTAGAGCCTACAGCACTAAATCAAGTTAGTATTCTGAAGTTTTTAAAACTGACATTATGGTAGAAAATTAACATTATCTTTTTTATTCATAAAAACTTAGATACCTTTATCATGTGATATAAATGAAATTATTCTCGTCGAGCCAATTACGGAGCCTCTATGGGACAATAGACAAATGACTGTCTCATGGATGGAAAAGTATCCGTCAATGTCTGATTTAGAAACTTACGAGGATAACGAAGAAGATATGTATATGAAGAAAATGATCAAAGAAATAGAAGAACCCTTATTTCACGTAGTACCTGAAACTTTGGAAACCGTGAGACTTTTAGTTTCAGCAACAGTTAATTATTCGGAATACCAGTGTAACATTAATGCGATTAAATTCGAAGATACTCTAATGTTCCAGGTTATAATAATAATAATTTTAAAAGGATAGAACCAAACACAAACCTCGCTATAGTATAGTAAAATATGTACATAACAAAATAATCAAAGCTATTAATTATTCTTGTATTTTATTTTATTTAGACAAGCCAACAAACAATCGAGCTAATAAATGTTGGTAAGGTTGATATGAATTTTTCATGGGATTTAGTAATGGATGAGCAATATCCAAAACGTTTGAATCAAATCGACTCGGGATTAAACTTTAGTTTAGAATCCTTTAAAAAGACGTCAGATAGAAAAAGATACACCGTAAAAACAACACCAATATCAGCGCTTAAAAAAGACTTACGATTTGACTGCGAAGGTTAGTCATGCAAGTCTATTTGTAGCTAAAGAAACTCAACGATCAATTAATTTCAAACTATTTTGAAGAAAAGTTACTATTTTTACTAGATTCCACTTCGTCCAGAGAAAAATCAGATCTATTTAGCAGCTCTGCAGGAATGACAGATCGTAGCACGGACAGTTGGATAGAAGGCGAGAATTGGCCATTTAAAATCGAACCAGAAAGTGGTTGCATTGCCCCAGGAAATAGTATAAAGTGCTTCCTCAAGTTTTTACCTGTTGACGTTTTTGAATACAAGGCTTGCTTGCAGTGCAAGTTCGTAATTTAATGAAGTTAAGACAATTAAAAATATTTTACCAACTGTTTCGATTGTTTTATGTAGGATAGAAAATTTACACCCCAGTGCAACGCCCCTAGTCATCGCAGTAGCAGCGAAAAGTTTGCTTCCATATTGTCATTTTGAAATAGAGGAAAGTGACTATCTGACAAGTAGCAGGAGGGATATGAAACTTCCAATTCCATCAGAATACAGCCTTGCCGATCCGGATGTAGCTAAGCATATAAGGATTGCAGAATTCAATGTCCTTGGGATCAAAGAGTGTCACATCCTGTGAGATTCTGTTGTTTTTATTTTACCGCTATGAAAGAAATGGTTTTTGGTATTACTTTTTTAATACAGGCAAATCTGTTTTGTAAATCCAACGACTGAAGATTACTCTTATCGCTGGTTGAATGTGCCTCATGTATTATCTAAAAAACTACCCGAATTTCGATGTTTATCGGAAACCGGAACAGTTGAAAAAGGGAAAAGAATCAGGACTGAATTTTCCATGGTTTCTGAAAATGTCGGATTGTTCGAATCATTATGGCAATTTGAGATAAAGAAATACAATTTGAAAACACTTTTTATAATCGTTGTCAATGTGGCCGAGCCATCTATATGCTGCAAAAATCCGATACTGAAATTTGAAACTTCTACTATTGGTACAGTTTTTTCATAACGGTATTACTGTAACTAAATTCTATTGATTTATTTTAAAAATTTTTCTTGTAGGTCAAGTAATAACCAACTCCTTTGAAATTGTTAACAACGAGTGCTGTCAATTGTCATTCAATATCGTCAAAAGTTCACTATATTCTGAGGGAAGACTACAGGAGATTTCAATTTTTCCGATATCTGGAGAACTGAATCCATACGCCACTCAGCTATTCAAGTAAAGCAAGTCATAATTATGTTTAGTACATTTGAATTTGTATAATATTATTAAACAATTTAATCCTTGGACAGTGTAAAATTCAAATCAAGGCTTATTGGAGAGTTCACTTTCAATGTACAATGTCAAATTGAAAAATTGCAAAAACCCATTAATATTTTTGTTTCCACTCAAGTGATTGAAATATCATCCCAAATAGCGTATACTAACTGGGACGACCAAGAGCTGAATATGAGTGAAAATTTAGATAATATTATTGAAGTCGAACAGGTGAGGCACTACAATGACAAAAATAATGAGATCAGTTACTAATTTTATTTTAACTATGATAGCTACTACTAAATGTACCAACCAGAATAAAATTTAAAATATCAAACACTGGAGGCATCGCTTTTGATTACATGTGGCAGTTAAATGCGGCTGATCGAAACAATTTTAAAGTATGGTTCTCTGAATCCGTCGGTCGAGTGGAAAAAGGTTGTCATAATGTCTGCTTTTTGGAGCTAATTGTTACAGATAAAGTAGTCATTCGTAACTACCCAGTGACAATAAAGGTAATACATCTTATGATTTCTTGTACAGGTGTATTAATGCTCTTAAATTTTTCAAACAGTTAAAAAATGGACCAACTTATCGAATTAAACTCAACGCATCTGTTAAAAAACTACCACTGGAATTTAGCTTTGATGAACATGATTTTGGTCTGTGTTACATCAAAAAGGATAAAGGATTTTCACATTCCAAGACACTAAATATAACCAATAATCAGAAAATTCCTTTCTCGTAAGTTATTTCTTTAATTCGATCTTGTTTTCTTTGTTCTCCATAGAAATTGTTCCAACCATTAATTGTTTTAGAATACAATGTGACTTTGTTGACACTCCCAACGTGAAACTGGATCTTTGTCAATTGCGAGAAGCCATTTCTCCAAAATCTCAGATTAAAATTCCAATTTACTTTCAACCTACTGAAGAAATGAGCTACAAAGAAATTGTATTGTTTCAAGTACCCAACATCTCCTTGAGGAAAGAAATTGTAATAAGAGGAGAAGGCATACCGATACAGGTAAGATTCCAATTTATCAAATGATTTTATGGTAAATACGTAATCTCGTTTGTTTGTCTCAGGTGCATTTGAAGTATCCATGCGACGGGATATTGAATTTTGGCTCAATACTCGTAGGAAACGAGACAACCAAAAAATTATCGATAGTAAATAGTGGTCGAGCAACAGTAACATTGAAAGTAGTTGTAACCGAATGTTGGGCAGAAAATATCTTTAGCATTAATACTGAGTCAAGAGCAAAAGATGAGCGAAACTCATTAACTCCTACCGTTAGTTCGAAGTACAGCCATACGTCATCAAAAGATGTAAATCTTTTGGAGTTTTTAGAGGTTGCACCAAATGATTGGTTCGATCTAAAAATGAACAGAGAACAACTGATTTCAATTAAATTTCAAGCTATGCAACGAGTCCGATCATGTAAAATCAAACTAGGTTTGGACATGGACAACACAATTATTCCCTTGACTGTCGTCAAAGCGGAATGTATCGCTATGAATCTTTACTTGAGTAGAACTAACGTGTCATTCGGTAATATTTTTGAAACTTGCGTAGCCGAAGAAAAACTAACTCTCATGAATGACGGCGATGTAGACACAAGGTTTGTATAATTTTAAAATTCATTCAATGTGATTTTATATGAATTTTATCCATTAGATTCTACTGGAGGGACATAACATCAGATTTTGAGATACACCCGCAAAGTGGGCATTGTCCAGCTGGTCGTTACGTAATTTTCACCTGCACGTTTAAGCCACAATGTTTGGGAAGTTGCTTGCAAGCCGAGGTATGCATAAATCATTAAACAAACTATCTAATAAATATTAAATTTTTTATCTTCATCTTCAAGGCTGTTCTGGAATTGAAGGATTACAAAAAGTTAACAATTAATATGATTGGCAACTGCTGTCCATTGCCAGAAGCAAAGGACACCATTAACTTCACTGCAGAGACAAACAAGTCTGACAAGAAGGACATAATAATCGAGAACAATTCGAATGAAACTTGGAGTTTGACTCCTAAGATAGAAGGCAAACGCTTTACAGTTGACGCAATTCTACATGTAAATCCTAAAAGCTCATTTGTATGCACCGTAACGTACAATCCTGAAAAACAATTGTCAAAAGAATTTTACGACAAGGTAGAACTTTTTATTTTATTTAATTCAATTAAATATATGGAGTTATAAGTAAATAAATACATCAACAGGGTAAATTAATAATTGTTCTGCCAAACGGACGACCACCGATCGTTCATGATCTTTGTGGTCATATTTCTCAAGTTCTTCCCACGAAAAATATGGTTCGTCAATTACCAGCGAAGAAAAAATTTGTAGAAACCTTGACGTTGCACAACGGCAGTGAGACGAGTCGAATTTTTGATTGTAGCACTAATGAATTAACAGAAAATAATATTAAAGTAACTTTTTCTCTGGTGTATTTGAAAAAAAACTTAAAAATAATACCCGAGAGCTAATTGATCCTTATTTTTTGTTAAAGAAAATTTCATCGTTCGAAGTAGAAGTTCCTAGCCGCTCGCAGAAGGAATACAAGTATCCTTTCTACTTCGAAACTGAAGGGCACTATGTTTACCAGGTACATTCATAAAATATGTACAATTATTGTCAAAAAGTTAGTCCCTAATGAAAAAAATCAATCCAGATTACTTTTGACGATCACCAAAACAACCGTCAATGCTACAAGATCGAGTTTACAGTTACCTGTCCAGAAAGTCAAGAAACGATCAAAATGTCGACTTACGTACGCAGCCCTACGTTTCACACGTTGAAAATAGAAAACTCGCTGGATTACAGGAGTGTGACGTTTGATGCAAACGACATTGACGACGTCGTCGTACACGGGCTTCCGATGACATTGTTACCCATGGAATTTGTAAGGATAATAATGCCGAAAAAAGAATATTGCCCACGACAGTTTAATGGACCATGAGTTTACGTTGTATTTCAGAGATTCGTTCGAGTGGAATATTCACCCCTTCTTCCGTGTGACAAACGAGAAACTTTGATAATGAAAAGTGAGGATCAGGACGAATTTTCTTACTGCCTGCATTTGATGGCCAAACCAGCTCCACCAGAAAAAGTGACCTACGTCAAGTCAAGCTTGGGCAGGACTACCGACTTTACTTTGAGAGCGAAAAACTACAGCAAAGTTTCGTGCAGATTCGAGATTACGGTAACGAATTTTCGATGTTATCATTGCCAGACCTCCTGTGAACTGTCAAAGTGTACCAAACGAAATTTAATCAGGCGAGCCATCTTGCATTCACGTGTCCACAATTCGTCGACGCGCTGGAAAACGAAGAGGTGTTGATGCACGTGAGATTCGAACCTTACGCTCTTGAAACTGTTGATGCTACTATCAAAATGAAATCAAGCATTGCCGGTGAATTTACGTGAGTAAAAGACAGATTTTTTTTTTTATAAAATTCGCACAGCCAAAAAATCATACATCGTTATTTTTTGCAAAGTTACCCAGTCGTCGGACAATGTACGCCGCCCCAACCCGAAGGGCCACTCGCTGTCTCTCCTAATGCTCCAACATCGATAACATTCAAAAACATCTTTCTGGAAGCCAAATCGTTCGAGATTTCGGTAGACAACTCGGACTTTGTTCTTGAGGATTCCAAGGCACAGATTAATTCGAAAGAGGTGAGTTTTTTGATAAATAATGCATGCTCGAGATCAATGATCTAAAGGTCTCGTTTTCTTTTCTTTTTCAACTTAGAGCTTTGACATCAGAGTTCGACTGCGTGATGACCAAAGCAGTGATGACACTTTCGCAGCGAGGACTGGAAAATTAATCGTCACCCATTCAGACCTCCATTGGATTTACTATCTAAGAAGTGAATGTTGACTTGTTGAATCATCATCGGAATGAAAAAATAAAAAATTCCTCATCAAGCACACTCCGAGAATATCTTGTCCTTGGAAAACCATTCGAGTCCAATGAGGGTGGACGCGATTCACAGCTCACTCCTACGAGTTACCAACGCGCAGGGGTTCATAGTCGAGGTCGGGCGTTTCAACAGTCGGTCGATACGAGACACTCTCATCCCCGAGGCGGTGTGGGCGCGCGCATCTCCCTCTCATCACCATGACGACGAAGCGGCAATGGCCGATCTCCCCTTCGAAAGCCGTCGCCGTGGTTATCTCTGCGTTTCATGTACCTCGATGCTTTTTTTTATTTTTTTATTTTTTTTATTTTTGATTTTAAAACCTCAGCTCCCAAGGAGTGGATTGAATTTATTTGAAAGGATGAATTTTCAAATTAATTCCATCGAATCGCGTGTACGGAGAGTAGAGTAACGAAATTAAAAGCGCAAAGTCGGAGCTTCCGAGCGAGTTCGTTTCAACGCTTCCGTGTGCACTTACAGCCGCTGAGCACATTAGAGAAATCAAAAGAAGCGGGAGGAGGAGGAGAGAACAAAAGGGAGGGGTGAGCCATACACATGTATATACTAGAAAAAGAGAGAGGGTTGGGGCACAGTAGGGGCGCAAGGGGGAAGAGTTGGCGTCGAATAAATCAAAGTGTTCGCGCCCCCCGAAAGGAGCGCGACGGCCCGGAAAAGGACGAATAAGCGGGACGGGATACGTGCAGTGAGAAAGACTTACTTACCTGCTTGTCTGCCTATATGTATACCTGTACTGGTTTTTCTCACTCCACGGACGTGCTTTTATACCATTATGGATATACCTGTATGAGCATTAAAAAGGGTACTGTTTGGTGCCTTTTGTGTAGCACAAAATGTGCAAAAGATTGGCCAAAGAAGGCCAAATATTTTTGCTCTGATTTTACCATTTACTGTATAGGGTATCAAAACAGTATTTAGTGCAGTTACAAATTTTTTTTTTTTTTTGAAAAGACAAAAAAGTACATAAAAACTAGGTGCAAATCAAGTGTCACAGCAACGTTGCTAGCACGGAGCTACAACATTATGTGTCGATTCAGCCGTGAATTGAAAAAATCCAATATCTCCTCGTTAATTTATCAATACTCTCGGGCTAACAAAGAAAAGATACATATTTTTGACATCGATATGAATCTGGGGGGTTGGGATGTTAATACGTAGAAATTATTGAAGACTTAGGTGGCTAAAACTCATAGAAGTATAAAAGGTCTATAAATAATAAATTTTACCATTTGTAACCAGTATCGATACGTAAAATGTTAAAAAAAAATAGCATGAATCCAAATAAAAATTAAATAAGTAAATAATTTCAAGGCACAGGAGTAAGTGAGATCAGACGCTTCGCGTGTGATTAGCGTACGAAAAAAAAACTTTTACTTGCAAAAGTTGTGATTTTGAAAAATGAAGTTTGTAGGTAGAATATTTAATATAAAACTTATGGAAAGTATCATCATATTTAGCAAAGATAAAGATAAATAGTAAAATCTAGATCCCTCAATGACGACATGCTCCACGAACAAATATATCCATCGTTGATTCCAGTTAAGGGGTTAATAATACAGGGGTAAAATAGAAAGTTCACGAGGGCAGGGGTGCGATGAGTAAATGGCAATTGATTCTTTACGCCCCCTGATTCACGAGCAGAACAATTTTTTTTTCTTTTTTCTCTCTTTTCGGATCAAAAAACACGAACCCTTTGCACCCTTTGCCTCTTTATCGCGCAGATGCGTGTCTTTTTTGTTTCGCTCCTTGGCCCAACTTGCATAATGTACACTCCACAGTCCATTTCCATTTTTATGAGACGATAAATAATCTTCAGCATCTCTGCTATCTCCATACATCCATCAGCTCCGCTGATCTCCCCCTTTCTTTTTTCGATCACATTAAATCGCACCTTGTTTATATGGTAATTGGTATTTGCAATTTGACTTCGTCCCCGTGATTGATTCGTTTTTCCATGACACTATCATTCCAAATTTAGGGGAAAAAACAAAAAAAAACGGGAGTAAAAGGGGGCTTTGAAACGCATCCTCGAAACTGTTTTCTGCACGATTGGGGTACAACGACATGTAACATAAAGTACATGTACACGTGGATTCGGGGGAAAGTGCTGGGTGGCGCGCTTTCATAATCCGATTGGCGCCGATCACTGTGCGGTGTGCGTTGTATTTCTTTCCACTATTAACGCGTCAACGATACCATTGAAAGTAGCTTTATCCAGTATTTTGGAATTTCGGGTGAAAATTTTTCTCCTTTTTCGTACCCTTTTTATCGTCGACAACTCCCGGCCCATGGGAAATGTCAACAGTGCGAGATGAAGGGGTAAGCGATAAGTTTCGGATCTCGGGCTGCCAAAGATTATTAATGAGTTGTGACACGGATTTGGAAAAATATGTTTCACACGAGGAAAATCTGTTATGCCAATAAGAGGAAAAATCGTCACATGAATTAAGAGGGAAAAACAAAATTATTTAATGCGATGTTTTATCGATAAACGCGTAGAAATTCTCTTAAATCTAAAATCTGGAAAATTGAAACATCTTGCTTTGCCAGGCGACGAAGGAATAAGAAAAGAATCCTCCGGCAAAGTCCACCCAAGGAAACGTATCTGTAACACAGCTCGCAATCTTCACGTGGCAAGGAAGAAGGGAGGGACCAAAAAAGAATGGGACGGGAGAAAAAGGTATACGTATGGATGACGTTCCAATAACGAAAGATCAGGGTAATAAGACACGATGTATACATAGGGATCTCTTTCTCGTCAGTGCGATCTCTTCGCTTGATAAAAGGCACGAGGTATTACGGACACAGGCGTCGGATTAGCGATACACGTATACACTAACTTTTTTTCTCCTCCTCCGATGTTCGGCCCCTAAATTTCTGCCCTCCCCTTCCGGGGTTCGGAAAAAAATATCGCGTAGAAAGAATAAAAAAAAAAAAAAAAAAAAAAAAAAAAAAAAAATGAAACTTGATGTTTGAAAAACTCGTCTTGGATATCGAGACGGTGCAAACAGTGTATCGAATTTCGAGAATGGATATTGGTGGAAAAAAAATCAATAAAACTATCTTTGACGACTTGATGCATGTTTTTGAGAAAATTACAAAAAAATTTCCCTCGAGTATCCACTCAATGATTAGTTATTAAAATATTTAATTATGTTCAGAGCCAAGAAAATTCGGCCAAAAAACAAAAGAACTCAAGTCCCATGGAAAATAAAGGAGAGGAAACTGGTATGGAAAAAAAAGTGCACACGAGTATAAGTACTGACGTTCAATGAAATGCCTGGCTAATCCGCTAATTCCGTACTAAACTCCCTCTCCTACCTTATACATGAATTTAGGTCCATGGTCCATTTAATCTCTGTAAGAATCGTGGGAGCCTTTTTAGAGGAGTTTTGAAAGCCATTCGTCAGGACATTTGCAGAAAGACGTAAGGTTACTAATTTCATCTCGCGTGGGCTAAGAAATTTTGTGAATCAATTTAAGTGACTATTATAAGCATTTATTTTTCATCTTTTTTGAGTAAATTGCGGCAATCTAGTAGTTTTTGAACACGTACACATTTTTCCTCACGATAAAGCTACTATCAATGTTTATGTAGCCATCTAAACTCACGAGCTAAAAAATTTCCCAAACAAACCTGTACGCACGAACATCCCTTGAAAATGTACACACACTAAAAATAAACAGAGCATTTTCTAAGGAAAGAAAAGAGCGCATTGTATGAAAAGACTAGCCGTCCAAATCATCCGGTCAGTTGGTTTCGCTCGACTCCCGATGATGATGATGTAAGAGATGCTGCCACTTGAAAAGTGTACGCGCAGGGGTTGGGGGGCACGAGGGCCAGCTTTTCACGAATAAAACGAAGGAAAAAAGCCGAGCGGGGCAGTAAACAGCAAAAAATCCGAAATTCAAAAAGCGGGAGCCAACGAGGTTGATTGATGGGCCCATTCGTGGGAGCTGGTCCACATGATTTGCTCTCCTCTTGTCTCCCTCTGGCACATGCCCCGCGAGGGGATATCACGTCCAGACAGGGGGCCCCTTCCTATACTCCGATGGCTTGCGCATTTACCTGCTAAATGTGCACTCATTCTATAGCTACGTTTCCGAATGGTTTTCTTCGTTTGCGTAGTTTGACACGCTCTTTTTTCTTTTAATTCATCTTTCGACACGCTCCTTCAGGAGTTCTTTACGTGCGTCGATGATGCGTCTCACTCTGTCACTTCAAAGGTCCGGCCGTCAGCGATCGGCAGCAGCACCAATCCGGAAAATTTCAATCCGACGGAAAGGACGACAATACTTTTCTTTCTTTTTCAACGTAATTTCAAGAAAAAAAAATGTATAATTTTCTTTTTAAAAGACTAATCAGTTAACGTGTCACTGATTCACTTGGGATCCATAAAAATAAATAGATAGTATAAGAGTTGAGACATACATAATGGTTTCTTTCTATCAGTCATTGAAAACGAGTATGTCACTCGACAAATCGCAAAAGGATCCTAATTGCACTGGTTCAGTGTGGTGATCCAAAGTCACGTACCAATAAATCAGTTTGTATACTTGTTAATTTATGGGATTAAAAAAGTAGTAGGAAAGTCCTGCGAAACATCGTAAATGTCAATTACTTGTTCCTCGAGAACTGGGCGTAAAACTCGTTCCAAAAGCGAGCGAAAGAGAAAGGGGCCAATAAGTTTTTCTCACTGGCAGGAAGTTGTTCGTTTTCTCCTCCCCTGCCGATGCAGCGACAATGAAGACGCACCCCCCTCCTTCGTATCCTTCGTCCTCTTTGATCGTCAAAAAGCAGAGGAAGAAGTATAAAAAGGTGTAAACGCACGATATTAAAGGAAGAGGAGGAGGGGGAGGTGGAGGCGCTACCTGCCCGGATCTAAAGGTATATATAATATATAAGGTTGACACATCGGATTTTCCCGTCACCAGCGTTGGGCCAGCAGCGGGGGGAACACGAAATCCAGTGGTTACCTACAATAATCCCCTACCCCTACGGGTGTTGCTTTTTCTTCTCCGTCGCCTTCATCTTCCAGGAATGACGTTTCTCGAGCGCATTCGTCATCCATTTCACCAAAGGAGGGACTCCTTTTTCATTTTTTTGTTTGCCACGGGCAGTCGCATGAACCCAAACATCGATACCTTGCACTCCTCTCTTTAATCTCCACTGGAGTTCCTTCCAGTACCTTGGAAAGATCAAGTCTCCTACCATTTTTCTCTCAATCCTTGGGTGCCAGAGTCAAACGTTTTGTTGGCGCGTGAGCGCATTGACGAGACAGAAGCACTGGAAATATCTTTCATTCATCAAAACTGTACATTGTTTCTGATTAAAAAGAATTTTTGTGTTAAACGTATCTAAAATAGCGTGATATGCAAAGACGTGGGCATGCAAACGTCCAAGATTTCAGAGATACTGCCTCGATAGCTGTAAAAAAAAAAAAAAAAAATGACGAAACGACGTAGCGGTGTAGACAACCGCAAAAGTTTAGCACCTAAGCGACAGTTACGAGGAGCACCGGGAGGCGGCCGAAACCGCTAATTTCACACTCCTCCAAGGGCTACGGGTATCACCGGAAAGGGCGTGTGTGTGCGCGTGTAAGTCGGGAATTATATAAGTCAGCGAGATTTACGGACCAGACCCGTCTCTCGACATCATATTCCATTAGCGGATATTTCGTCGGCTTTACGACCCTCGCGCGCAAAAAAATCATCCCATCCATAGAGGAGGAGGAGGAGATGGTAGGGCTTGCACTTTTATTTCTACCGAAGGTGCACCGAATAGTTGTGCTTCGTATATCATGTCTTAGCTTGGATATAGCTTTTCTGTACGTTATCGATAGATGCTTGTGGAAGACTGTAAAATGTACGCAAACTAATTTTTTCGGACCTCTGGAGCCTCATTCATCTATAATCACCTTGGAGAATAGAAAAAAGAGCGATGACTTGGTCCAAAATAAATCCCATGAGCTCGATAAAAATCCTCATTTCCCTCGAAAAAAAAAAAAGAAAAAAAGAAAAGAAAAAAGAGAACCAACGTTTATCTGTCGCGGCGTCCGTCAAAGTCACGCGCGAGAAAGTAAACGCAATAAAATCCCCCACTACACTAGACGCTCCGTCGCAATAAAATTCCGCTGCTTCTGTAGCACGTGTTTGTTTATAAAACGAGTAGATAACGGTCTGACGTATCTCGGCGCGTCTGGCGAGCACACCACACCACACACACACTCATCGTCTTTGCGCTTTAGTTTGGCTTTTTTTGTGTTTCTTATTTCGGGGATTTTATGATGCCTTTAGCAGGAAACCAGCCTCGTTTTCCAAGACATCGGTGCTTTTTCCTTAGAATTGACTTTGCCCCGGGGATCCCCTCAAGGCCGTGCACGCAAATCTTTTTTTTTTTGAGCAAATCTTTTTTATACTTCAATTTAAAATTATTCGTGTGTTCATAGTGAACCAAGTACGAGAAGAGCTTCCGTGGAGCTATGAAAAAAGTTCCCTGCTACGTCAGCAGCAGCACATCATTAAGAGGCTTCTCGAGTACTGCTTCTTCTTCGTGTACTTCAAACAGGCGGTTCTTTTCCTGCTTTGTCTCTTTTCTTGGTTAATAGCTTCCTTGTCCTTAAAAAAATATAAATGCATGCGTTGGTCTATGAAATCATAAAGATGAGGATTTTTCAAATTATCTGGCCCTGCGTGTTATCCTTACGTGTTATTCTCAACGTGCCTTGTTTTTCTGTGTTTTGAAGTTTGAGGTTTTAAAGTTTAGTTCAAAGTTATAAAGTTTTATTGAGGGCTTTCTTGACGAAACATTAGAGATGGTGTATAAAAAAAAAAAAATTTAAGAAGAATTTTTATTTCGTCGGCTAAATAAAGCTATTTGGAGATTATGGGATTTCATTTTAGCTCTCCAAATTTTCGCGGGTTTGAATTGAGCGAGTCACTGTAGAATAGATGGGGACGAAAGCAACTAAATTTAAGCAAAAATAAAATGAAAATTTATTGGTAGTGCAGTAGGAGTACCACAGACGCAGTAGCGGGTACAAATAATTTTAAGTGCAGTACGAAATTTCACTTTATGAGCTACCCATCATAAATGAATTAAAACTTTATGCACAGAAGCTCTCGTCATCTGTTCTACTAAACTGTTCTTAATACACTACGCAAAAACGCATGACGTACAAAATAAGCCAACGACTAGCTCATCATTTTTCACGTCCACAATTTTCCACGAAACCCTTTGACGTTTCTCTTCATTTCACACACAATTACAGGAGGTCTGACTGCATCGCAGGCACTGCACGACACATTCTCATATAACTTTTGTATACCCTTTCTCCCTCCGTCCTGCTCCTGATTTCCCCTTTTTACAAGCGTGCCTTGTATTGTGTACACGTTGATGGATGATCGTACCAGGTGATGCACCCTATTTGCCCTCCACCCCCGTTTCGTTTTTTTTTTTTTTTTTTTTTTTTTTTTAAATCCAAGCTTACATTTTTGCCGCATTTCGCGCAAATTCAGACACGTACGGAGGAAATTCTAGACCCGCAGTCTTATCAATATTGAAAGGCTATGGTGGTGAAGTTAACGAAATGACGTGCAGTGCAAAACATAATTGTGATGTACCAATCACCACCTCGTCATTATTTATTTTGTACCCTCCCGCCCTCTTGGTCTGAAAATAAATATGACATCGGTATGGCCACTCAAGCGTACGTACGGGTGATATAATATTATATTGTATAATATACCATCCAACACTCTTATACACGCACAAAATGAAGAATTGCATATATATATATATATATATATTGCATAATTGCAACCACACACACACTAGTGTCCAACACAACGTGCATCGATCTCGCTACTAGCACCAACACCATCGTACAAAATATACCCATTCCATGAATAATTTTACGAGCGAGCCTTCTTCTTCTTCTTCTGATCGC